CCACCCATTCCAGCTAACGCCTCGTACGACAAGGTTGCTGGGGGGGGCCCTTCTAACACGGAACGACCGCCTCTGTGGTGTAGTGTGGTTAGAGCGTCTGCCCGGAGAGCGGAAGGTCGCGGGTTCGATGCCCGACCGCGTCATACCAAAAGACGTTAAATTATGGTACTTGTTGGTCCCTGCCTGGCGTTCGGAATTAATGGGTACAACAAGGACTGGTCGGCTCGGAGTCAGTATAATGTGTCTGAGTGGGGTATTCATGCTTCACTGCGGCGTGGTATCTCAGTGGGCTAGCACTATAAAACCAGCTTAAGTCTGGGCTAGTACAAGCAGCCGCACATACACATACACACGCATGCCCGTCGTCATATGAGCGAAATATTCTCAAGCACGACGTTAAACCCAATTTCACCTCACCTCACCTCTAACACGGAACATATAATACACTGGTCACTGACCTATGCATGTTAACACAGGTAACTGAATACAAATGTCAAGGTCCATCACAGCGAGTCAAGGTCGGTGACCAGAACCATAGGCGGGGTACTTACTTCAAGCATGACTGCCCACGGAAGGACAATGCGATCCTCCTACCCAAGGCCACTATCCTTAACCCTATATTTACTGAGACCGTTAACAGTGGGGCACAACAACGTTATCCCACTGATAAGCGTATCTCACTGACATGAACGTCGGCCGCACTGTATGAACGTCGGCGATGAATCAACGCGCGCGTAGACGTTTACATGCATCATGAAGTTCCTGCATGAGCGACGACTGATTGAGGGGAAACTTTTCATTGCTGTGAATGCACTCGGGAATTTAACGCGTTTGAACCTGGTATACATCATTGTACATTCGTAGGAAGCATGTACACTCTGGGAGTGACATTAGATTAAAACACGCTCTCTTCGCCAGCTGAGATCTTCTTAGTCATCCAAATTATCATTTTGACGCAGCGTGCTTAGAGGTGTGGTGAGAATGTCAAGGCCACGGAGGAACTTGAGGTCAAGGCCTTACATAGTACCGTGCACAGGCTGGTACCTGTGTTTATACTGGAGTTATACTGCAGTACATGCAGATCGTTAATCACGTGAAATGACAAAACGCCATGTGCTGCACGCGTCACTTTATGTACAATATCACTGTATATTGAAACATTTTATCGTATTGACATGTTTCGATTATACGCTGTCAGTCAAAATATTGTATTTTCTCTTTGACATGGCAAGGCGGGATCAGCTGATGATTAAGTATAACGTGAATCACGCCACTTGTAGCACGTGGAACACATGCTTCTCGCCTTGAACTGACGTCTGGCCTCTTGACTTCTCCACACAGGGTTCTAGTAGGGTGCAGCAGGGATATCCGGAGCTCATCACACACTGAAACGGTGGTCACGTGACCTAAACTGCTTATGGCACATGATGCGCAAATTTTAGTTTCCACAGTTCTGTGTTACCAAGAACAACAAAAGTTCCAACCTTTGGTACCTTTTGGTAATTGGTCCACGGTCAGTTTTGAATTTAGGGGTATGCTATAGGAGTATTCTCGGTTTCTTGGTTTTATATATATATATATATATATATATATATATATATATATATATATATAAAGAAAGTGATGAGAATACCGAGCGTACAGTAGTACATATATAAGAAGAAGTTTCTGAAATAATCACACGACACGGATCTTCTCCAACTTGTTTCACTTTTATCTTCAGGGAGATAAAAGTGAAACAAGTTGGAGAAGATCCGTGTCGTGTGATTATTTCAGAAAACTTCTTATATATATATATATATATATATATATATATATATATATATTTCAAACTATTTTTAGCCATCACGGCATAGTTGCACTGTACAATGTACAATGAATGCAATTTTTACATCTATCAAATACGTATGACGTGTACCGAAGCCGGAACAAAACTTAGCCATTTCATGGTGACTTGTAATGTTACTATACATGCCAACTTACAGTATTCTCAATGGTGGGATTCCTGAAGCTGACACACGGACATCCTCGTGGCACTCATGTAAACCATACAATGTATTACCGGATGTCCCATATGTACCAGGACCTACCCAGCACACACTCTATATATGGCGTCTCTACGTCATCGTTAATCGTCTGTTTGATGAGGCTGCTATTTCGATGCGTTGGTAAAAAAAAAGTTCCATTTTCAAACGCAGGACCTTTCATTAGGAAGCAGGACTTGTGTCCCCAAAACATGTTACAATAACTCAGTGGCTGCGTTTTGTTTCTTATAAGCATGTCCGTTGCCTGTCTGTATCGATCAATATCCTTATCAGTGTCGACTGTTTTGAGTTCAGCAGTACGGGACTTGTCATGAACTTCATTTGAGAATGGCATTAATGCGAAATCAAGCGAGCTTTCCTTGCTTGTGTAGCGGCCATAAAATTTCCGAGTCCCGTGCTGGGATTCGAACCACGGACCTTCTGATCAGAAGTCGGACGCCTTGTCCACATGACCAAAGAGGTTAACCCCGTCAGCAAGCTGACAAGGTAAGGATGTCATCTGTGGGATGACTCCACGCCCTGCTACATACTCCCCCGTCAACAGAAGGCACGTCCTGAGCCGCATAGTTGGGTACTGAGGCTTATTTTGCTCAAATTTGATATGAACGTGCTCAGCCCCGTGTTGGGCGCCAATGTAGCGGCCATAAAATTTCCGAGTCCCGTGCTGGAATTCGAACCACGGACCTTCTGATCAGAAGTCGGACGCCTTGTCCACATGACCAAAGAGGTTAACCCCGTCAGCAAGCTGACAAGGTAAGGATGTCATCTGTGGGATGACTCCACGCCCTGCTACACTTGCATCAGGCAAGAGATGCTGTGTTTCATGGTCATGATTTTGTTGTTGACAAATGTGAAGGTGGGCTACACACACAGATTTTAGATATTTTTAGCTTTTAGCAATATTCCATCAAAATCAAGAGCGGGGCACAACAGAAATGGTATCCACACATTACACCCATTACATCCATGTTGGGAACTGAACCCCGGTGACGGGCGAACGCTGTACCTACTAGGCTATGTATCGTCCAATGCTGAATCACTTTATCAGGATGTTAAAATTAAAATTGATGCATCACAAACTGTTTGTTGACGTTCGTCAACCGACAAGTGCGACGTTTAGTCCACTCAGCGGAGAAAACTGACAAGTATCATCATATATTTCATAGCCATTCCTGAAGATATGGATAGCTTATGAAATTGGTGTTTCATTAATGTCGCTATCGAAACTGCAATGGTGAAAGTTCACACGTTATGTGCTCATGATACAGCCGGAAACGTAAAATTGACTCATTCTGCTTTTGGCCAAGATTTATGAATCTTTGGAAAACAATATATCAACATTACTAAATTAGCTTTCTTATCAAGTATACCTTGTTATCATTAGTTAAATTTAGATGAAGGTAGGAAACAACATCGTTACTCGAAACCGGAAGTGTTGCGGGCAAAATGACCAGGTTCTGTCTGATTGGTCTGATTGTATAAACGCCATCTATGTACAACCGCCAGCTACAATATTAAGGAAACTACAGTATCCTTGTTTCTGAGTTTAACGGCAAATTTAACTCATCCACGTATCACCCACGCTTATTGACATCAGCCTCTCTCCCACGTTGTCACTGCCGTCGTCAGTTTTCAATAATGATCAGTGGAAGGATATGTGGTATCTGTTTAAATACACTGGTATCGAGACGTATCTACATCCTTTGGGTACAGTTAGATTGATGTTTCCCATTTAATTGGCAAGGGAACGGTGAGGCAGCGTATTTAAGGCGCTGTCCTTCTGGGTATTGCTCTAAATATGGTAATTCCCCCGAGGCGATAGAAAATAAAACTCGCTGCGTGGTCACACCGTGGTCACATCGTGGTCATGTCGTGGTCAGGATGTGGTCCTGTTATCTAACATTAGATCAAACATCCAGGGTACATTGTGATCGGTCTGGATCCTGTCAACTGAGGATAATCCCAGCGGGGGCGTGTGTACCTTTTCAAACTGTGTCTCACCCACGTGCATTGATGGGTGCTTGCTAAAATCTAACGGTACTATTACATGTTCTATGGATGAAAGGATTTGACATGCGCCTACCACCTGATTTACCCTCTTCAGTTCCTGCTTGCGACAAGAACTCGCTGTGAATAGAGATGGGTTTTTTTAAAGCAATAACCTTTGTGGGTGGAAATGTTTCTTCTGTCACTGATCTTACAAGAATTACCTAATAGTATCCTTCCTATGTAGACATATAGAGGAACATTCCACCGGTACAGGAAAGAGACCTTTGGTCGTGATAGACGACCAAGATGATGACGCTATTTATGAGGTCTCAAGGACCACATTGGTGTCCTCGACAGTTTGGTTCACACACACACGCACGCACACACACGCACGCACGCACTCACACACAAAATACAAAGAAAAACGTTGAATTGTTCATAACTAACCCCATTCGTAGATGATTTTACGGTTCATATTTTAACCTTATTGTCGTATTTGGTTTAGATTTCAATAATGATATAAGTCGGTGATATTTCGTTCGAGATTATCTGGTCTAGATTTACTACCACTATGTAGCGGCGATATTGCGGAGTGCGGCTTTAACAACTAACAAACAGCCAAACAAGCAGAACACGCAAAGAAACATTTCGTTCTATTTGTAGTAGCTTAGTGGTTAAAGGTCGCTCTCACCGCTATAGCAGGACCAGGTTCGATGTCACCTGGGGATTCATTGGGTCAATTCCTTATGGTATTTCCCCACTCCGACACATATGGGATATTGTCAAAGCACTCTCAATTTCTCTTCATATTGTATACTACTCAAAAGAAATTAAGGACACCCAAATCTTTTATGTTACTGTTGTAAATCTGTCATGGCGTGCGAGTTGCAATTCTCATGTTTAACAGTTTTTGCTGTCCATATGAGCTGACATTTTTTTTTAATTTTAGTTTTTTGTTTTTTTCAGGATCTTGTTGCCTGGGTAACCCTCGGAACCTACCATATACCCCAGACAGAGAATGTCCCAAATACTGCAACTACCGGAGGCCATCTGTCTTTCCTGCTTGCACCGTTCAACTATTTTAAAGAGGACCCCTCAATGGGATCACGTGACGCCGTTCGGGTTACGCCATTGGACAAAAAAAATCCATATTCAGGTGCAGTGGTAGAACGGTACGGATTGAAAGGAACTTCAAAATGTTCACCACCGGAACTTCTACCTGATGAACTTTTGCAGAAAAATAGTTCTTCCCTGTTTGCCTGAATCGCTTAATCAGAAAACATTTCCACATTTCAATGCAAACCTAAGAAACGTCACATCCTAATACGTAGGTACAAGGACGACATTGTCTTTGTAAACGTGACCACTCCAAGCACTTCGAATCGCATTCATGTCTTCTCCTTTGACTAATTGTAATTACCCGATTCTCTATCCGCCCATGCCGTTCATTCGGTTGCATTCGATTGGCTTCAGAAGTTGAGTGTTACGGTGTATCCCTAGAAGGTAAAATCTACAACCGCAAACTAAACGCTTCAAGCCACCATCATCTTGTTTCATTTTGGTTCGGCGGAGTAGCCTTGTGGTTTAAGCGTTCACTCGTCACGCCGAAGGACCGGGTTCGATTCTCTTTATGGGTACAATATGTGAAGCCCATGTCTGGTGTCCCCCGCCGTGATATTGCTGGAATATTGCTAAAAGCGGCGTAAAACTAAACTCACTCACTCACTCTTGTTTCATTAACCGATGGCGTTGCCAAGACCCCCTTCAAGAATATCAATCTGTTTTGTCTTCCAACAACAAAATTACTTGTGTCGAGTGAATTCATGCTTTCAAATCCCTATCAAACAATACATGTTTGTACGTACAACCTTAAGACACCTTTGAGGTAACTGGTCTTTTTAGTGAAACGTTGCCTGTATTTATATCTGATACAAAATTCTGAATCAACGGCCAATCGAATACACTGATAATGAGCTCTTCAGAAACAATCCGTCCAACCTTAGAACCTGAACGCGCAGGAAAGTGCAACCTCAGTTGTCCAGTGCATTATAACTGTACAGTAAAGTGGATAAATGAATGTTCATTTCATTAATGAGGAGCTATAATGCCTTGGAGTAACGAGGATGGTAAAATGTGTCAAAGGCAAGCATTATGTGGTGACTCGTAGAGATGCGGCCATCTCTTTGATGACCAACTGTATTTTACGATATATTACCACCATTTACCTACTAGGTACATTTATTTATTGAATATGTGTTCACAGAAACAACTCCCAGGTGCCGCTCATATGATTCTCAGACCCTACGTTTCCAAAAAGTTAACATTGCTTACGTACATGTTTCATAACATGTCTCAATTACATTTTCTTTGTCAAAGTATCCAACAGTTCACAAAAACCTATTTAGAAGTAGTTATCGTCAAACAGTCACCGCCCTTCATCAGTGTATGAAATAAGGCCCAGCTAGCCAGCCCGATGGTCGGGTAAAAATCTTAGATGACATGTTCCATACATCTGAGTAAATCACAATATTTTGGTGTCTGGTCTGGTTAAATCCATTTTGGGCTGGTAACATTTTGAAGTTACCAGCCCTGATGTCTGGCTGGGTTTGGGGCTTATTTCATACACTGCCTTCATCCTTCCTAAAGGCTCTGAATTACATACATGTTTACCAAGTATTTATCAGTCTCTCTTGGCTCAAAAGTTGAAATTACTTTCACTGAAACAATCTCAACTTAACTGGTCTTGACGGTAAAATGTTTACGTAAAACACAGCCAAGGAATGCAGTACTACTCACTTCCACAGATATTTGATTTGAGGTTTATTAATAAGCCTTTATCTTACACATATGCCACGGTGGGTTGTGATGATGCAACACTTGCCGTCTACGTCAGTGAAGTATCCATATCGCCGGAGACGCTCTATCTACTGAACCGGTTCACCTTTTGGGTCTGGCAAGAAGGTTCTACCTTAAATTCCACAACGATACTTTCAAAACGATATGTTTTTGTTAAAAAAACCTAATCTCTGCTCTTCGTGGCGTCGGTGAAGATTTATCGGTTTCCAAACACTTTCTCGCGTTCGCTCCCGCTGTCTGTCGACGACGTCGGAATGCCACTAAGTAATGGCGAGAACAGACCCCCTGGCTGCCTGTTCTGGTGGGAACATTGTCACTATTTATGACATTTGCGAATCAGTCGTTCGTGTTATCGCCTTTAGACCAAACAAATTTTATTGGTGGAATAGCTAATGTGAGTTTTACTGATAGGCGTTTGGCAAAAACAAAGTAGCCATTGATAGCTGACGGTATAAACTAGTTTGAACTCAACTTAACGACTGCATTAGGAATGTTAATTCATGCGTTGGTAGGAATAAAATGATTAAACCCAACTGAACCCTCTTTACATATATTAGGATCATATTATGCTTGGAAGCTTTTCAAAACGCAAATATAATTCCAAATGTTTTGATAATATTTGTCCTTTATACCAAAGAAAATTGCCGATGACGTCATAGCGTGTTTGTCTATGCGATTGCACCGTTGTGAGAGCCTGTGAGATGAAGACCTATTTGTTTATTGTACATGCTCAGACATGTACATCATCATATATTTATTAGCATCGTGTATGACAGATGTTATCATTTCCTGTTGGTGTGATAAGGTGATAAAATTTAATTTAATGAAACAGAAAGATAACAGTAATGTTATTTGGAAAGATTTAAACAAATGAAAGGCATGGCATTGTCGTGTGTGTAATGAAGTACGTGTTCATAGCAGTTGTTTTGATTATGGCTTCTATTTAAACTGTCGTTGACAACCTGTTGAAGTGGCCGTCTATTTTACGGGCGCTTCGGCCTATAAGTAATTATTAACGCGTTTTCAATGTACGGTGAGGGGTGATACCGTCGTTCGGTAGTGCTCTCGATTCTTACAGTCAACAGTCACATGGGGGTGGGGGTGGGGTGAGATAGAGGTGGAGGGTAAGTGGGGAGGGGACACAAATATTTGATATTTGATTCTTAAATGAGAATGAGCTGCAGTATCATCAATCAGTTACAATATTGATATTTGATTTACATGTTTTCTTTATTATTTAGATTATTTTTTATTCCATGAAATGTTACAACCTACGCATGTTTCCACCAAAGTGAATTTTACAACACAAGTCGTGAGAAATCTCATATTTCAAACGCAGGTGAAAAAATACACCATAGTTTCCATTGTAAATACTTCATTTAGCCTTCTGTTAAGAGACACTATATGTTTTTCTCAACAGTTGTGGAAATTTACACCCGAGTTATGTTAAATCACAACTGTATGTTCCGATTGCCTTACGTTTGGTAACGGGCCTCCTTCATCGCATAACCAAGGATGGCCGACATACACTAGAGTATATGCATGGGCGGTGTTCATGAATCAAACGTTGTGCACATACTTGTGCAATATTTAATACCTCTACTATTATTGCATATCATGTAGCGAGCTACATTCATCTGATGTCGGTTAATCCCGACATCTCGTCACATCACATGGCATACTTTCAGTTACGTATGTACATTTGTCGTGAAAGAGACGAGGCCAATGGAAAGTGGTATTCTCTGCAAGTTTGATTCAAGAAATTAAAAAAACTTTCTGTAAATTAATCTTGCGACCAGTGCTCTTAATGTTGAGGGACTTGGCCTAGATTTTCGAAGCTCTCTTAGCGCTAAGATAGTCGTAAGTTAATTTTAATGTATGGCACTTACGACTATCTTAGCTCTAAGAGAGCTTCGAAAATCTAAGCCCTGGTCAATATTTTACGGGCGGGGCGGTCAGATTGGTCTCAGGACAATACATGTATCATATTTTGCCGACCCCCCACCCGCCTTCCCAGCATTTCATGTAACATATGTCATACCACCCCACCCCTGTACCAAATGATTAGTCCCTAACACTAAGGTAAAAGTTCCAATTTCAAACATGGCAAGGTCTAATCCTTTGATTTGGAATGTATGGATAGGAACTTGACTCATCAAACTGAATGCCAAACGTGCTGTCAGAAATACAAATATACTGTACCTGAAGTCTTTATCTGTGCAATAAACTGTCTCACTATCGTGTGTGTATGTCGTGTTCTCCTTGTGAATCTCCTCAGTGGGGTCAGTCGCATCTGCCTCCTACAGAAGACGAGTGAATTGTGTTTGTTGCTTTACCGCGCACTCGGCAATATTCCAGCTGTATGACGGCGGTTTGTAGATAATCGAATCTGGGCCAGACAAACCAGTGAGTGACATCATGAGCATCGAGCTACACATCTGAGATACGATGACATGCATAAACCAGGTCAGCGCGTCTCAGCACCCTTCACGTGAGTTACGGTTTTCATGTGAGGGAAGGTGGTTTTACGCAGCTTTCAGAAACATCCCCGCAATATCACGACGAGGGACATCCAAAATGGACTTCACTCATTTTACCAATGTAGGGAATCGAACCCGACTTAATGCATAGACTAGAAAAGTCTTTTGAAACACGGCTACGTATTCTCCACCGCCACACTGTAGATCCTACGACAAGCTTTGGCTGCTGAAGACCAACTCTTACCCGGATGTTAACGGTGCGGAGAAGAGACTTTCGTCCCAGTCAGAGATGGTCATGCTTTATCCGAGCATAGTGTATGTACCTGAATCTGGGGCAGGCAAACGAGGGGACAATAGCATGAGCAGCTGTCCATACGGTTTTAGGACACCTACAGGTGTACAGTTGGATCCACCTGATTCTCATTTAAATCATTGTGCTTGACTGGAAGCACTGGGACCCGTTCTATCCCGGGACCTCAAACAGAAGGATATTGCATCAGTCAGACCTGCCTGTGTTGAAGTCTGGTGGAATGGGGGTAGGGATTGTCAGTCGGAGATCCCTTAACAGTACTAGCTGGCGTAGTGGGCGAGACGGTGAACATGCATACCTCTTGGGGACCATGCTATAGATGTTTGTCGTAAGATCATGGGTTAGTAGGCAGGATCGGGTTCGTGTCACCATATTAGTCGCATGAGACGTTGCTCATATCACCAGCATATGGACTGCATGGTCCAGAACCGATTATGTGCAGGATGGTGTGCGTGGGTGCGAACGTACGTGGGTGCGCGCTTGTGTGCTCAAGCGTGCGTATATGTTATCTAAGCAGCACTCAGCAAAAATAATCCAGCTATAAGGCGGGGGCCTTGTGATTAATGAAGTCCGGACCGGACAGTCCAGTGATTGATATTGTGAGCGACGATACACGTGGCCGGGTACGAGGACACATAGTCTGTTGTAGAGACCCTGAAATAAATATACCCTGTGCAACCCATGAAAGTCTAGAATGTGTGGCCAGTCTAGAATGTGTGGCCAGTCTAGACTACCACAGTCTCTGAAATTGAAGAAAATCTCTGTTCTCCTAATTATTGTATATTATTTTAATTTATGGGGTGGTGGGGTAGCTTAGTGGTTAAAACGTTCGCTCGTCACGCCGAAGACCCGGTTCGATTCCCCACATGGGTACAATGTGTGAAGCCCATTTCTAGTGTTCCCCGCCGTGATATTGCTGGAATACTGCTAAAAGCGGCGAAAAACTAAACTCACTATTTTAATTT